ATATATATATATATATGTATATAAAATATATATATATATATATGTATAGAGAGAGAGAGAGAGAGAGAGAGAGGGAGAGAGATTGTTTACTTCTGCACCCTCTAGATGTAAATATGTCAGTGGATAATAATGTAGGTAAAAATATACAACTTTTCCTCAAATACTATTCATAGAAAATTCTCAATTGTTATAATGTCATCAAAATATTCACTTTTGTTTAAAAAATTGTGCTAGTATACAGAACTTCAATCCTACAACATCAAAAAAACCACATTAACAAACAGAATAAATGTATTTATATTTTAAATACTAAAACAATTTCATTTTCATTTCAGAGCTTTACCGAAAAAAACTTCGGTGGAAAAATTAAAGTCGTAGATTTTTGTGAAGAAACCAATCCCTCCTTCTACTTAGAAAATGAATTTAGAGAAATTCATAAACCGAGCCTGAAGGGATATAGATCCAAACCAGGAGTGGAAAGGGAAGATCTATTTAGTGAGTCTGAAGAAATGAATCCCAGCAAAAATCAAAAAGAATTTCAGGAGAAAGAATTGGAGAATAACGAAAGTAAAGAAGTCAAAGATTTGCACTACGCAGAATTCGAAAATACGTCAGACGAGAAACCTGAAAGTATTAAAACACTTATGATGACTGAAAATTGGAAGAGAACTGATTATTCCGAAAGTTCAAATCCAGAAAAAAATTTAAAAGAACTTGAAAACTCATCTGAAGAAACTCAAAGTAACAGTGAATCTTTAGACATAGATCAACATTTTTCTACAGATTCTGACCATCCTCATGATGAATCTGAAAGATCCGACAGAAACGTACATCATCAGCATCTAAGATTAGAAAACACAATAAGAAAAGGTGAGATTCCTCCAAAAGCAATAGCCTCAAATGAAGATTTGGCTTCATCGCAACTCTCAGTTTCTCATACTTCTATACAAAGCTTAAGTCCTGCAAGTACAAAACAACAACAAGGATTTAAACCACATTTTGAAGGAGGATTTATACCATTAGTATTGAATCCCATAAAAGAAAGGGAGTTACAACTACCCCAGTTTCCTTCTTCATCTCTTCGGAGACCTCACCGTCCTTTCTTATTTAATGAGTCTATACCATTCCATGGTACATTTAAACCTGGTGTTCCAGATTTCAGTGGCTTCAATATATCAAGCTATTCCCAAGAAGAATCGAACTATCCTGTAAACCATGTTCAAGATAATATTCCGATGTTATCAGCTCCAAAGCCTCAAATGGTTCAAAATCAAATTTCACCCATTAATTTACAAGCAGAATTATTTAAAAGACAAAAGCGCCCAATGCAACATCAATACGTATTTCACCCTCCTCCTCGACCACGCAATCAATTCCTTCATGCACCATCACATGGCTCATTACTAAATCTTCACATTTCAAATGTTCGAGATGAATTAGAGCAAGTGTCATCTCAACGAGTGCAAGTGGCGCTTCAGTCTATCAAAGAGGATAAAAACAATCAAGGCCTCCTTCCACCATTTCACACAAGGCCAATGCAAAATAGAAATCAAAAACCGCATAATCTAATACATTCTCCTCCAATACAGCGTCGTCCTGATATTGTTGATGGAGAAGTCCCATCGAATATGCGACCTTTTCAGCGGCCGGCAGGAAGCAACCGTCATGAACCAGTACTTAAGAAAAATATTGAACCTCAACGAATCACACCAGAACTTCAAAATGGACCGATGAGAGCCCCATATAATGGCCGACGCCCGCTTCCTCTTCTTAAAAGCACGTTCAAAGATCCATCGGACAATGCTGTTCGTAGAGTGCCTCCTTTAAGATTGGACAGATTTCAGAAAGCTCCTATTCAAAACAGGCTAAGAATTCCTATGTTCCCTGTTAATCAAGCTAATCCAGTAATTTCCGCTGTACCACAATCATCAGAAGATATCCTAAAATCCATGGAAAATGAGAAAAATGCAGAAATAGAGCACCTGCCGTTTCAATTGAAAAAACAATTACATGGACAGTTATTCGGTGCTCCAGGTATGTTGCATCTGGAAAACAAAGAATTGCGTCCACAGCTGTTCTCAGCCAATCCTCACGTCATAATTCGACAAAATCAACTTCGTCCTCCACATCAGTCCCAAAACAGCCAAGAAATGAATCTTAAAAACATTGCAATTTCAACAAATAATTTAAAACAGCATAATGCACCGAAAGATTCACACCACATTCACAACTCAACAGCATTATCTACTTCAATCTTAAACATACCCCAAGAAAATAGTTACTCTCTAAACAAATCACTCAGCAGCAATGAAAATTATCCTGTATCTTCCAGCTCTGAGGAAACTGAGAGTGAACCAGAGATATTTTTAACTGATACTAGTGAAGTTGCAGATGAAGATAAATTATACGATCAAAAAAAAAATTTAAGTGAATTCAGTTCATCAAATGAAAATACCTTTGAAAATAATACAAGTATTGAATTCCACTTAACCGAGGAAGTTTCAGATCATGCTATTGATTATGAAGCTCCCTTTGGTGCGCGGCTGAAACCAAGACCAAATGATAAATCTAAACAGAAAGTGAACGCAAATCCGATTCCCAAAAGTCCAATAAATTTTTTAAGAAAACCTCAACTACCATCACCACAAGTAACATTTTCCAAACCAAGTAATATAGAAAACATAAAGCCTTTGGAAGAAAGTTCTGGCATACACTTACCAAGTGAACCGAGTTACATCGATCTACTTTCATCAATAGAAAATGGAGAAAGTAATTTGCGAAATTATACTAATTCTAATATTTCAGAGGTAAAAGAAAACAAAAGTTCTCAACTTCCGGAACATTTATATGTCAATAAGATACAAGATTTGCCGTCATTTGTTGAAACAGATTTCATATCTTCAGATAATTATCCCGGAAGAAAACACATTCTTCCTAGTACTTCAAACATAACGTTTACAAATACGCCTGTAAGAGCACCGGAAGATATTAATCTGCCACATATATCAGAAAAACCACCTTCACATGATAACGGCACAGATTTTTCTATTTTAAATCATGTTTTGTATATCATTGGTGGACAAACAAACTCGGGACACTTTCAGAGAGACTCGGGAAAAGAAACACAATCTTGAACAATCAATCAAAATCATACGCTCAAGTTAAGAACTTAGTGGAAAAACATGTATACAAACATTCAAATCCCAGGTTTAAAAACATATTATTATCAGTTCTAAGTATAGAAAATCTATTTATTTTGCCAATCATTAAGTAAGACAGTTTTTAGTCGAAAAAATTTACAACTTAAATGTTTTGTTTACAACTATCTAATGCTTCATTACAAACTAATGTTAATTTTTTTCAAGTTCACTGAAACACCTTTCAACATCTTTTTCCACTTAGATTTTCATATATAAAAGAAGAGCAAAAAGTTTTAACAGTAGGTTTGAATTTCTATATCATTTTATTTTACAAATTTCAATACGTAAAATCATCGATATACTTTTACCGTATTTCATTCATCTTTCAAAGCAAACATATTTATAAATGAAAATACACATTTTTATTTTTCTCTTACATCTGTGATTTAATCATCAAGATAAATTTCAATCTTAAGTTATAAATAAATGGCAGGTCCATTTATTCAACATCATCGTCTTCGTAAACTTAGAATGCATTGCATCTTTTTTGTAACTGTATCATGAAAATAAAGTTTTAATCATTAATACTGTGTAATTATTCCTAAATAAAAGTTTATAGGAACACGACTTATGTCGTAATCAGCAAGAAGAAAAAGAAGCACCCATAACAAATTTTAATAACGTTTTAACACTTAAATAAATTCTAAGAGTAGTTAACAATACAATAAAAACTAACAATGAGCTGTAATTTTTATGATTCAAAGACACGAACTTAAATATTCTAATCCAGGACTTAAAACTGCATTTCATCTGGTCAGTCTTACTTAGTATAAAAGTACAGTTGAAAGAACTAGAAAAGCAAATATTTGAGGTGTCGCCATTTCATAAAAATTAAACAAAATAATGATCCTTGATGTGTTAATTGTGACTTCAGGTGGCAGCCATATTCCCTTTTGGAACCGAATCGACCAAAGTGATCATGCAGAGTTGCAGGGGAAAAAAAACTATTAAAACTCGAAGTCAGTAAAGTTTTCCCATTTTAAATAATAGAATTGGTATTCGAGAGCACACTGATAGAAATAAAATAATAATAGAGACAGTCTGTGAGAGAGAGAAGCTCGTCAATCGATAGCAAGGATCGAACCTCGGAGGCTGGATAAATGGAAAAAAGTGTACAGTGCGAAAAAGTGAACATCTTGGTTAATTTTTAATCTAATGATCGCATTTTCACGCACTAGAAATAAGTCTTAATGGTTCGAATGCCTACCTCAAATATGCTAATTAAATAGGGTAAAGGATATTTTAAGTTACGAGTCCAAACATAAAGGCGTACTTTCTCTGAATAAACATAGCACTTTTTTGATGGATATTTGACCACCAAATATGGTGGGTAGCCGCAATCTGAAAAATGTGGTCCCTATAGTTGGGTCAGGAGAGCCTTTTAATGTAAATTGTACTTCTTGCATATCTCAAGAACTTTTTAAGCAAATCGAATATTTTTGCCCCACAATTATAAAATTCTTTTATCTAAAAAAATAATTTTTAATAATTATTTATTATTTTATTTAATAATAATTTTAGAAAAATTTAATATGTAAAGTATAGAAATTTTTATGTGATTTTAATGTATGCATTTTCAAACAGCAAAAATTCAATATTTGAACAAAATCAGTCGAATAGTTTCTGAATTATCAAATCTTAAAAAAGTCATATTGAATTCTTGATATCACTTGTAAAAAACTCAAATTCTTATAGTACAATTTCTCAACTATACGAAACCAGTTACAATAAATCATATTACTTAATTATTATAAAAACATTAAAATTTCAAAATAAAGCTGGATATTACCAAATTTTCCAAATTTAAACACGCTGTCGTAAGTACGTTTTTAACGTAGGTACAATTCACAGGGGGTGGAGGCACCACTCTAGTTTTTAAAACGCACGCATGGTTGGAAACGCTTCGGAATTTCGGCTAATGTTTGTTGCTATCTTGTGAAAATATGAAAAATAAAAGTTTGTGCTATCTTTCACAATATATATGATACAATAAATTTAAAAAAAAAAGGTTATGGTTCTATAGTTTTACAGGAATCCTGGACGGAATCCGACATATTTCGATCAATAAGAAGTACATTCGTTCTTGAAAACGAAACATTCATATGAAATATGACGTTGCAAGAGCATTGGTTTTGATAGGACCACTAAAAATGGCGCGTCTTATGCTAATATGACCTTAACAAATCAAATGCGAAATAAAGAATTTTTACTTTTGCTTCGCTGTAGAAGAAAATCGTCTGCAAGAACCATTATTTATTATTCTTTCATCAGTTTCTTTAAATGTGAACAGAAAAACGTATATTTGCTAAGATTTTCAGATATCATTTCTATTAATTCTCATTACATGTTAATTGATTATCCAGTAAGTTTTCTTTTCCTCATCAACACGATTTAAGAATGTAAGAAGAAAAAAAAGCTTTTCAACGTCGTTTCAAAAGTTGGCGATGTTTGTATACGTAGAAAGCAGTTGAGGATCATGGGAGCTTCTAGCACTGTGATTGATTATGAAATTTTTATGATATCCCTGTAGCTTGATAAAACTTCTTTTAAAATGAACTAAAGTTTTTTAATAGCAAATTAGGTAACTTTTATAAACTTTTTAGGGATTACATTTGATCAGGATGGCCAATCTCTACAAGAAAAAAATATCCATATCGTACTTTTTTTAACTAAACTCTTTTTGTTTTCCCCTTTACATTCATTGAACATAAAATAATTTTAAAGATATGGAAATTAATACCTTATCAATAAATGCATATTTTACTTAAAGTAATTACATTTACTTTTATAACTTAAAAGGCAACAAACAATGAATCGTTAATTATTTGTCCTAAAAAAATTTATATTTGATTTTTGCTTACATTTATGCGGTTTAGCCATTTCTGGCTCTTGCGCCAAAAACACACTTGCCTACATTTATAAATTGAAAAACTGCTTAAATTTTGAATCTTACTTATTAAGAAAATAGCAATAAGGTTTCCATTCCAAATTTCAAAACTTGAATTTGCTCACATTTGTTTTAAATTACGGTTAAAATACGTCATTAGTATAAATAGTGTAACAGCAAAAGTCCTATGGTGTAAATAATCTTAATTTAAAGAGAATTTTAAATAAATTAAAAAATTTAATTGATGAAATTTATTTAAATATATGACTAAATAAGTTTTAAACAAAAATGTAGACAAATAAATAAATACAAAAGTAGTACTTAATTTGTGAATTATAAGTAAAAAATATGTTTAAAATAAATTACGAAATAAATGTTGGGGTATCCAAAATGGCATAGAATCCCGACCACTAGGTCAATAGATTTTAGTGAATTTTCTATTTCTTGTACTTTTTGAAATAAATAAAACCTACACTATTGGTATTCATAAAAAAGAATATTATTAGTAATAAATATCTAAAAGCATTCAAATAAAAATTTATTAATAAATTCGAAAGAGTTAAACCTTTAGAGTGACAGAACCACCTCTTCTTAACTAAAAAGGGCATAATCTATAAATTTTTTTTTCCTTTTAATTTCCAGAGAAATTGGTTTCAGTTTTGCTTTTCTCAGGATTTCAGCATTACAAATTTTATGGAAACACTTGATACCAAGATTCTTGTTTAACAGTTATTAATAAATGCTTGAAGTTTTTTCATGATTTTTATTACAGTGCCATGTCTCAGATCCATATAGTAGGACAGATTTAACATTAGTATTGAAATTTTTGTCGAATCGAATTTGTTCATAGTTCTGTTTAAAGTGTACCATGTTTTTGCCAAAATGAGTCCAACGTTCATGATATATATATATATATATATNGTACCATGTTTTTGCCAAAATGAGTCCAACGTTCATGATATATATATATAAATATAGATAGATAGATAGATAGATACTTAGATGTATATATGTATGTCAAGAATACAGATAATTTTTGCTGATGATTTTTCTTTTTTATGGAAATATAAATTCTTTAAAAGAGTCTAAATACCAATAAAAAAATTCAAAAAATAACAACTTGCCAACTTGCCTACATTCTAGATTTATTTTTAGATTATTCAAAAATACATAATCAGAACAAGGAAACAAGGTGCTGAAAGAATAATGCAAATATTGTATATATGTATTTCATTTAAATGAAAAGCGTCGGTCTTAATTGGGGCTTATTTTTCTCTGGCACAAAATCAAAGAAATTAGAAAATTGTCACAAGGAAAAAATAAGTCTTTTGTGGTCACGTAAAAATTTAGTTCAGTGTTGAATTTAATATTATTCAACTTAATTTTTTCATTTCATACAAATTTAATGCTTTAGACTGCTTAGATTACTTACAAAAACGTTCCTTAATTTCTTATTTTATTATTATTTTTACATATAAATTTTTTTTTCCTTTTTTTGTTGTAAATACTCAAATCATGCTTTATTTTTTTAAGTATTTAAAATCAGTTTTTAATAAAACTTTTTCTTTAAATTTATTTTGAAATTAAATATTGTTTACAAATTATAAATCTTTAAAGAATTGAAAATTGGAAAATTAAAAATTTGGACATTTGTAAGATCTGCAAATTTTAGATATTTTTTTGACCTAAGCCCAAGACAGACTGCTAATATAGTCGGTCAACAGTCCAGATGGGTGTCTTTTATTTTATTGTCTAATATGGGTGTTTAATATTTTTATTTTATTTTTAGAATTTCTTTGAAATTAAGTAGCATTTGCAAATTATAAGTCAAAATTGAAGAAGAAAAAAAAGGTATTTAATGTCTGTAAAATCTGAAAATTTTAGATTTTTCCGGTACTAAGGCAAAGCAGACTGTTATTTTGATCAGTCACTAGTCAAAGTGTTTTCTTTTTTTTCTTTTTACTCTGTTCATTTATTGAATGAATTCAAAATTTAGTCTTCCTAATTTCTATTATCTGGAAAAATTAAGAGAAACGGATTAAAATTTCTTGCTGTTAGACTAAGAATTTCATGGTCTGATTATATTGCTTTAAATCTATAACAGATAAAAGAAAATTTCATATCTCGTGAATATTTTGGAAATCTTCATCGTGGACATTCCAGCAATCGCAATCAATAAATTAAATTTATTTTCGCTCTGACTCAATGAAGGCGAGAAGTGAATCAATATTGTGAAATTAAAACTACTAAAAAATTAAAACTATTAATAAATTTACTTATTTTTATTGAAAAAAAATATATAAACTTGTTTGAATTATGAATGTGGCAATTTATTTATTTACTATATTTCTTAACGTTTTTTTTTTCTATGAGATTGTTTGGGATTTAACGTAAAAAGTTTTAATATCTGTGCAAGAGCCGCGATAACTCAAGAGATAGAGCATTCAGAGAGAGAGACCAAGATTCAAATCCCAGTGGTAGCTGGTTGATGCTAATTCTGCTCTCAGCTCGTACCGACCACAGTTCTCACGTAAAATATCCTCAGTGGTAGACAAATCATGGGTTAGAATAATCCCCTTGCCATCAGAATAACCATGGTTTTCACAGTTTTACTCTCCATGTAATACAAATGCGGATC